GGATCTAAAGGCACAGGTTTTATCTGGGCAGGTGTTTGTTCACACAGCCCACCAGACAAAACACCTTCGTTTTGAAGGTCAGAAGACCAATCTTGTTATAAGGTTATGTCTGGAAATGGAAAACCACAAATGACAGTGGGATAGCTGATGTAGGAAATCTGAGGCAGAAGAAGGACAGAGGAGGAGTAGGTTGCACTAGGTTGATGACTGAGGCCCAAACTGTCAAGGCTCATGCACTGAGTTCTTGGTTCTTACAGCTGCCTACTACCCTATCCTTACCTTCCAAGGGGTGGGAAAAGTGTGTCTCATCCCTGTGTTGAGAGGCTGGGATGGAGGAAAAGGTAGTGGTACAAACTGCAAGGGATTCTGTGTGCTTTCAGGAGCTGCACAGTGCCAGGACCTTCCCCCTCACCTCCAGATGGACACTCTTGTGAGGTGGTGGCAGCAAGCCCACAGGACAAGGGTCCCCCCACCAGATCCTAGACCAACACACTGGGATTGCATCCTGGTATCTGATGGACAATCATGTTGTTTCATGCACCAGTAAACAAAACACTAGAGACGTGTTGTTTGCTTAAATATTTATATAGTGAATGAGATTGCAGAATCTCTTTCTGCTCACATAAAAGTGGTCCAAATCAGTGCTCAGTTGGGCATCAGAGAACTGCTTCAGGGTGGCTTTGGATGTTTACAGCTATTGCAGGCTCTGCAAGGAGCGTGAGTAGAGAAAAATGGATGTGGTTAGAACATCGCTTCATCCTGGTGTCCCCTGAGGACAGAAAGATTTATCGGGGTTAGTGGCGCCTGCACGATTGGAGTGGCCTTCTGGAAGTGCTGCTGTGGAGGAAGAGCTTCCTACAATTGTAACGTGTACCCCTCTGCATTTCAGTGAGTGACTTCAAAGCAAGGTGGTCAGAAATACTCCTATAAATATCTGACACAGAGGGAGGATACAGATTTCTGTTGTTGAATCAACTCTGAAACAGAGGCTGCATTATTCATGTGTGGATCGTGGTTTGGTGTTCCAGCTCAAGGGAATGAATAGCCAGAAAGGGAAAGGGGAATTAGCAAATTCATTTGGGTTCTTAGTTATGTGCTGCTTTAGCTGGTTCTTGCTATGGGCTGTTATTTGAGGGTTTTGAGGGCTTTGTAAAGTGCCTTTTTGTTAATTTAAACTGAAAAATTTTGAACTTGGGATGAACCTGAATCTCATACCAGAAAATCTCACACTGAAGGGAAGTGCATGCCTGGATCTGAACACAACTTTTTGTAGAGCATTCCTGTAAACAGGAATGTGTGCCTTGTGGCCTTACCAGTTCACACCAAGCAAGTATTATCTCTGAGAAAATACGGATGGCACATCCAGAATCCTTGTGAAGATAGTTCCAAAAGTTGTAAACATATTTGCTGGACAGCATCTAGTTGTAGCAGTCACCCTTGTGGCTGTTTGGCTCTTGGCATGGCCCAACAATGCCGTTAGCAGATGGAGAGGTGCTCCACATGTAGCTTTGTCTCTCACACCACCACTTCTGATGGCTGCTGTTGTTGCCTGGGCTTGAGAAAGGTATTACTTCAGCCGGAAATGGAGGCAGTGGAATGCTTTATGCCAAAAGGGAATACAGAGTACGAGTTATGATGGATGGAATGTGGAGTCAGCAGCCTGAGCTAACATGAGTGACTTGTAGGACCTGAAGCAGGTGGGATCGCAGCTGAGCTCTGTGGATGGGAACACATAATTTGACTTAAAACAGTGATATTTGGCTTTTACTGCTATTTCAGCATGATTTGGAATACAAACATAGTATGTCCTTAAAAATGTGTTTGTGTTGTGAGATGCTTCCACTTGATGTCAGGTTGTTAGGTGTTATAAGAGAAAGGATGATGTTAAGGAAGTTGTACAAATCCATTCAGATAGTCAACCTCCTATGGAGTAGCCACATGCTCCCTGACGTGGAACCTCTTCCCTCATAACTCTAAGGGAGTGTCCTGGGTTCAGCAGTAGCAGTCATGTTTTTTCCTTTGTGGTAGCTGGTGCAGTGCAGTGTTTTGACTTCCAGCCTGAGAACAGCGTTGGTGAAGCCGATGTTTTCAGTTGTTACTAAGTGATGTTTACCCTGACCAAGGACTTTGTGAGGCTCATGCTCTGCCAGGGAGGAGGGGAAGCTGTGAGGAAGCAGAGACAGGACAGCTGACCCAAACTGACCAAAGAGGTATTCCATACCACAGCACGTCATGCCTGGGATGTAACTGGGAGTTAGCCGGAAGGGCTGGGGGACTGCAGGGTTGGAGGAGGTATCGGTCGGAGCTTGGTCAGGCTTGGGGGGCGAGTTATCGGTCAGCTGGTGCTGAGGTGTTGTATTCTCTTCCCTTGTTATTTCCTTTATCATTATTATCATTGGTGGTAGCAGTAGTGATCTGTGTTATACCTTAGTTACTAAACTGTTCTTATCTCAACCCGTGGGAGTTGCATTCTTTTCGATTCTCCTCTCCGTCCCTCTGGGAGTAGGGGGAGGGAAAGAAGGGGGGGGCGTGAGTGAACAAGTTACCTGACTGGGTTTAAACCACGACAGGGAGGGTTTGGAGTTTTGTAGTACCTGCCCAGAGTTAAGCCCACCTCCTCAAGTTAACCTGATATCACAAGCTTTCCTAAGTTTTCCTTGCATGCTTTTGCTCAAGCTTAAAGGCCAAGCCAGTATTTCAGGCATCATGTAACTGCAGCGCGTAGTACAGAGAGGAACAAACGAAAGCAGGGCACCGTCACTGATAAGGTGTGGGGAGGTGGGGTCTCCTCACATGCTGCTGTAAGAAATCAACTCTGGATGGCAGAAGGTGCCAAAAAAAGCAAATATACCCCAAAATAAGCCAGCTCCTTACAACCTTGCTCTAAAATCTGATGACCAGAATAACCTTGGACTTGTAGGCAAGGCATGTCACCAGGTCATCCAAGGGTATTCTTGGTATCCCAGAGCACATGGAGCTCCTGCCTCCAGTGCTTTGGAGGGAGGTAGAACACCCCGGGAATGGAAGCTGACTGACAAATCTAGGGGAAAAAAATCCTCTTACATTTATGAGTAACCAGCTGATGCTGCAAGGCATGAAATCTGATTATAATTACTGTCTTAGGGTAGAGCTGCATCTTTTATGAGCATGTCCCATTACGGAAGTGAATCGGAATCTCTCTCAAATCATTCTGTAGGCCCTGGGGAGACCAGGATGTTTTGAATCACATCTTCCCTCCCCTTCACATGTGTACAAGCAAAGACTCACAAACACTGGATCAGAGTATGCATCCTCAAAAGATACTGAATCTTGCCACAAGGGTTCCAGGACATGGCAACACCGCTGCTCTTTCTGCTCACCTCTGGTTTTTATTCATCTTTCTTCAAGGAAATAGTGTCTTAATTCAAGGTAGCCATTATTAGTTTCTAAACAGGAAGTAATTTTGCTGATTTCCATGCAGTCGAATCATTCCTATTACTGATCTTTTCTAGCTATCTACCAAGAGTTATCACCCTCCCAAACCTTTCCTTTGATAAGCTGAAGAAATTGAATCTCTTACACCCGAGGCCCATTTCCCCAAACCTGGGACTCTGTGTTTAAACTGGTGGCTTTTAAAAACCATTAATGGATTCACCACAATTAAAAATAATTAAACATTTCTTAGGGAAATTTGTCAGTAACCAGTTCAAGCTGTGATTAAAACAGAAATGAAAAAGCTGGGCTGGAAATAGCTGCTTAAGCCTGTATTTCTTTTTAAAAGAAGGTGAGGATTTTCTGTCATTTCAGTTATTGCACGTGTATGTATTATCTGTGATACAGACATGCCTGTACTCATGTATGCATAAATATATATGTATAAAAGGAAAAGAGAAACACCCATAAAACTCACTTGCTATGGTAACTGTTGTTGTGGAAGCCAGTAATGGTCAGCAGGCCGTGAAAAGCACAGGAGATAAGAACACATCTACTATTAATACTGTTCAGTTTTAGAAGTGCTCACAATGAAGCTGCTGTTTTGACACTTTCTTCTGAAATATGAAGTATTAGGCATTGTCAGAGCCAGGATATGGGGCTAGATGGACTCTTAACTGCCTGCTGTGGTGATTCTTATCTTCCTGCATGGGGTGAATTAGAATTCTTTGGATCAATGAATGTACACAGTCTTTTCTTGTATCAGAATAACATTACACATCCTCTTGTCATTCTAACACACCGGAAGATTATTTTCAATGATAATGACAAGACCACGTCAATAATGGGACTTTTGTAGTGGGAATTTGCTTCTTATTACATCTTTCACATGGCAAATTTCCCCCTTTTTTTTTCTTCTTGAATTGCCACTCAGAAGTTGGGAGCAAAATGGTCAGAATTTAAAAAAAGATAAAAAGAAAATATCTCACTTCCGCTGCCACCGCTGCTCTAAGTTGTACAGACATTAACTTCTCCTGTGCATCCATAATTATAAAAATGCCATAGGCAGAGCCTGCATTTTGTTCTGCTTAAATATCTGTCCAGATCACAGCTTTTCCCTGATAAAGGCTATTGTTGGAAAACATTAGTATGCGCTACCTGTATTTTCCGTGTTCAAAGGAAGCAATCACAGAGCATTTATTTTTACTAAGAGCTCAGAAAATGCTGCACTGTTGCCATTCTGCAAAGAATGTATTTTCATCTCAAGGCATTATCATGAACAGATTCTTTCCAAATTCCAGGAAAAGTGTGATATTTTTGTAAGGCATAATGAAGTCTGAGCACTTACAAAACTTGATTGGTTTAAGGCCTTTAATTTCCTCCACGTTTTATTGTTTTACTTAACTAAGTTCACTGGAAATTTCTTTTGTGTAGACAATTTCTTCTAGGCCCAATGTTAAATCTTGGGCTCGATGTGTAACTGATGGAGACTGACTATTGGTGTCCACAGGAGCTGAAGAACACAGAAGTGGATTACAGGAGGTGCCAACTGTAAAACAGCTGTGCCAGGAAGTTATAAAGAGCAAAGGCTGATGGACCAACTAACTCAAGGTGACTGAAATTAGGCAGTCTGGATCCTCCTAGTGTCTTCGGAGAGAAAGAAGCATTTTCAGATACATCTCAGACAGTGCCATGGATTTAGGTCAATATCACTCTGAAAATCAAGGAAGTTAATTCACATTTTCCAATATGCGGGATAGGAGCATAAGGCTTCCTGAAAGTCAGTAGGATTTAGCCTCCTAAGTTGGGAAGATGCTTTAGAAATAGGGCTGGTTATCACCTCCATTTAGTACTTTATCTTTGGTTTGGTCATGCTGCATTTTTGCTTGGACTATTTGTCCTCCTAACAAATAACCAATTTAAAGTTAATTACAATTGATCAGTCTTTTCTAAGCCTTCAGTTTTCACACTTTGCTGCACTGTAAAACTTGCCAAGGAAAATGGTGTCATAATTGCAACATTTTGCACCTTGACATTAAGTGTATATTTCACTCATGGCCAATTTAAAAATCAAAATAGAAACTTCGTAATAATCTCCCTTTACAGTTTGGGTTATGAGAAGCTGAGAATTCCCTTAGGCTTGATTGATAAAACATGGCATTTATCCTATTCCTAGGATGATGTTCAGCAAACTTTATGACAGAGGGAAACAGCTGGTAAAGTGGGTTCATGGAAAGGTGAAGGTAATATAGACATAAAAAACAAGAGGATAATGATTTTAAAAGGGATAATAGTTGTAATAACACCATTAACCTTTTGCTTCAAATTATTGAATGTGTGGTCTCTTCAGCAGGCTAATCAAAGGTTTGCATTAACTGCAATGCACGAGGAAGTGGCAATATACAACCTGAGGTGATTTTTTTCCCTCTTCCAATTATTCGCTATCCAACCCTTACTGGGGAAAAAAAAAAGAGGAAAAAACCAGCCCTTTGGCTGTTGAAGACCCCTTCCCATTTTGAAATGAAGCTGACCTGCTTTCAGAAGAAACAAGCTCCAGCTTCCTTTCTGCTTTGTAAGAGATGGATTTTGATAGGGGAAAAAAAAATAATATTATGTTATAGATACATAGAAATTAAAGTCAAAGATGTAAATGTATGGGGCAGACTCCCAGGAAGAGCCAGCCCCAAGCTGTGTGGTGGTGCCGTGTAGAGGGGATGTCAGCAGAGGCCCAAGGGCAGGCATACAGAGCTCTGCATTGACAGGGTAGGCACAGCACTAGGGAGGTCTCAGGGCTTACTTGCCGTGTGTGCAGCTCCCTGCTACTCTGTGTAGGTCAGTTCTGGCATCTAAACAGCTAAATCAGGCTGGAACAGGAAAACTGCCTTTTTTACTTGTGTGCTACGTGCACAGAGTTGCCTTGCAGAGACAGACTATGCTTTGACACTTTATTCGCATGCTAAAAGACAAACATATTGATGGTGGAAAATGGCCACAGATGATGGAAAAGCTCACAGTGACATGATGGAATTGTTCAGGAATTTGACTGGTTGGACAAATCTGCACCAGTATATGATTTTGCAGGTGGTGATCTGTTTTGTTCACTTAAGGCATCTATCCCAGGTGCACGTCAGAGCACCTCTGTTCAGAAACCTCCCTTCTGTATGCAGTCAGTGGAGAGAGAACCACCTGAGTCAGACACACAAAGCAAGATTGTCTGACTGGCTTGCAGTGTGTCATGTCAATCTAGTAAGAAAGGAATAAGTGTAAAAAGAAGTTTTCACTCTTCCTCACTGACAAAACCCCACACCGTTAACAGCCCCATTCTGTTGTAATCAGAAGATGGTGAAAGACTTCAGGAGCCACGTGCCTTGAATTTGAATTAACCAGATTGAATTTAAAATCAACACACTGAAAGGGCCTGAGATAAGAAGTCAGAACATTCAGAGGAAATGAGAACTGTTCCAGGAACTAAAGGTGAGAGAAACACTAAGTCACATTAAAAATATTCCACTAGAAAAGAAACACCTTTTCTTTTGCAGGACACCTTTTCTTAGAAGTCATCTATAATCAGTAACCTTTCCCAGGCACTTTCTCAGGCTTTTTTTAGTCACTGAATCCTTTGTTTCAAAACCACCCATTGATTCAGTGCCCTAAGTGAGAAGTAATTAAGGTGGACAGAAATCTTGCCTGCTGGATGGCTGTATGAGGTGTAGAAGAGAGTGGCAGCAAGGGGGTGAATGAATTTCTCCAGAAGAAAGCTCTAACAACATGTGAGTCTTCTGTAGTGTATCGTTAAATATACGTGTATGTAGATGTGCAGTTCTAGTCAGCTTCCTATTGATATATTTATTTCCATATACACACATGCTGATGTACATACGTGTGTGTTCCTCAAGGATAATGAACTGTTTAGGCAGTACTTTGTCAGAATATCATTTAAAGTGTTACATCCTTTTAATGCACAGTAGTTTAAGCAAACTCCAAGGTTCTTACTCGGCAATAAACCCATTAAATCATCTTAAATACCATGTCATAATGACAATTTGATGCCACCAGATGTGGCACTAGGGATCTTTCCTTTTTTTAAATGATTTCCTGGAGATACAGCTTCCTGAATTTGATATTCTCTAGCCTGTTTGCACAGCTGCTAGATCACAGAGCTCTGCCATCATTTTGCCTTGCATCAGTTACTCACTAAATCATGTGTGGCATGACTACAGACTCCCTGCATCTGAACCGTTTAGGCTCATACTCACTTCACCCTCATAAAGGCTGAATAGTTGGGCTATATGGGAGAGGGTGCATGAGTGTTAAAATCCATGAGCAGTATCTATTCCAGCTGTGGAGCTTTTAGAGATGCAGTCAGAAGAGTGTACACCCTATTCGGCATCCTAGTTACGATGCTAAGCGAAACACACAGATGCCTGGCCACTTTCCTGGATTTTCTCACCTGTTGGCCAAAAAGGAAACCAGATCGATAGTACAGCACCTCTTCTCTACAGGGCAGAGTTGGGAGAGGGGCACATTAGCAGCATACAACAGCAAAATAAATACTATTTCACCCCGAGCATGTTTAAGTAGTAGAGCAAGTCATGGGGAAAACTCAGAGACCAACAACAGAAATATGTTAAATGAGGAGCAAGATGAGGAAGGATGCTTTCCTGGCCCTGGAACAGCCCCTAATCCAAGAAGACCCTAATTTCTGATAGACAGAAAGCAGGAGACCATCTAGTGAGCACTGGACCCAGCAAAACAGGACACTGGGCCTTTGCTGTGATGTAGTATGGGGGCAACGCTGTTGTCAGGCTTTTTATCATGTTGTGAGTTTGTATTGGGTGAGTGCTGTGAAATCTGAGGGCAAATCTGGCTGCTCTCCCTCTGAGACCCTGTGTTGAGCATGCATTTTCCCCTAATAAAGGTCTGTGAGAGACATACGTTGGCAAGGATTTGAGGTGAGGTTGTGGAATTAGAACGTGCTAGTAAGTGTGATTAACATCTGAGGCACCAGCATTGATGGTAGGGCTTGGAGCTGCTCTTGGGTGGGTCAAAATCCTGGTCTGTGACCCTGAGGGATCACTTTGGGCATTTTGTGAGGGTCAGGAAGATGGGCACAAGACACCGAAAGCACACCTATTGTTAAGTGACAAATGCCTACTCAGCCTGAGCATGATTTATTGTCATCACAATATTGACCTCAGTGCCAAAGGATTATTAAATCCTGATTCAGTGTGAATTTGAAATACTCTTCAAAAGGCTGATTCAAAGCCAAGTGGAACAATTACCATTGCCTTGCATGGAGTCTTGGTTTGATTTGCTGTTCAGCTCTGGGGCTGACACGAGTGTTTGAGTAGTTCTGTATTGAAGAGGGCATGAAATGCTGTCTAGATTACCCTCCAGTGAAGTGTAATATTTGATAACATCAGTAAATACAAAACAGAAGCAAAATGACAACAGCATTTGAGCATCTTGTGATAGTAAATGAGGTGGAAAAGTTAAATGGATATAGAAGAGGATCCCCAGAGGTTGGATCACAGCATGATGCTGGTAGAAGCCCAGTTGTTACTGTACTGATAGCAACATGTGGAGCTCTGAATCTTTTTGGATCGTGGCTGAACAGAGAGAGGCAGCTTGTAGCTGCCTTTTCTCCTATTCATATTGTATAGGCTGTCCTCCTCTCCTGCCAGCAAACAAATAAAACTCTGTGCCAGCTATAGCAGCAGTTTACATGGAAAAGCAATGAAGCAATTTCAGGAAAGTATTAGATGTAATTTTGGCTTTTTTTTGCTGTCACTTAGCAGCTAGAAAGAGGAGATGCACTGATGTGCAGAGCCGGGCGTGTATTATGCAAACTCATATCACAATCTCATTGACTGTTTGTGGACCCCCATATTTCTCTGTTTCCATCTGTTGTTTTAAGGCTAAGTTGTTTGGAGGATGTCCAAATTCTTTTCCCTTCCCTAACTTTGGTGAAGTACCTGCCTGCCTTAGGCTCCCTACATAGACAAAAGACAGAGAAGCTGCTCCAAAGAATGTGATGTGCCAGGGGATGCTCCTTTCTCTCCTTCTCCTCCTTCCCTCCTTCCATACTCTAACTGCACAGGGATTTTACAGGTGCCTAAATACATCTCCACAGTCAAGGACTGGAGTCGATGGTGTGCATTTGGGTTTTGCTGCTGTCTTCAGCTGGTTGTGATTCAGAATTAGGATAATGCAGACTGTAAGGAGGATGAATGTGTGATCCACCAGTTGCCCATGGCCCATGAGTGGGCAGCAGCAGAAGCTGCCATGTCTCAGTCTAGGCAGTAGCTCATGCAGTATTTCAAGAGATAACAAGGGAATGTTGAGCTTATCCAAGGAAACAGAAATGGCAGAGAAGATAAATAAGCAAAGCATATAAACCATAAATGCAATGCTATTGAAATTAAGTATGTTTTAATTTCTGGAAAGAATGACATTTTGGTGTTAGATTTCTTGAAGAGGGAAAGATTACATGCATCATTAAAAGAAAATGTTTTCAAGAGCCCTTTTAAAAAATTGTATCCATGTTGCAATTGCCATGTGCAAAATATAAAAACCAGAGAAGGGAAGAAAACCCAGCAAGCAGTGGAAATAGCCCATTTTGTGAATGATAGGAAGAAATATACCATCTGTGATTTAGTGCAGTTCCCAAGATCCCATCTGTGATCGAAGCACAGTCCTCATTGAAGGCTGAATCCCTGAGCTGTTCCATATGATAAAATATTTCTCTTGGAAGATGCTTAGGCTAATGGGTTTGTTTTGCTGGAATATGGCTCTTCTAGATGAGACATAAACCCTTAAAGGCCTAATTTTGCTTCCAGTGGCCAACTACAGCTGACGTCAGGAGGAGCAGGAGTGAAAGGTCAAAGATCGAACACTTTTCCTTCAGAATTTCTGTACTACTTTTTATGAGGTCAGATTGTTGGGTCTAAGGAGGGCTAGATAGTGATTTTGTGAGCTTTAGTGTCAGATGTGGTGGTCGCTGGGCTCCTTGTACGAGGAGGTCTCATGGTGCAGCTGCAGCTCTGCAAAGGAAGTTCCTACTGTTTCCTTTTGTTTCTGCTGTGGCTTTCAGCAGAATGAATGAGGGATCCTTCAAACTGGTGGCAGGCCTCTAATGCAGATGTAACGCTGAAGTCTCCTGGTGCCTTTACAGTGTTGTTACTGTGAACCCTCAGTCCTACTGCAGAGGTGGCTTGAGCTGTATCAGGTATTTATCCAAATGCAACGGATTTCATTCTAATCCTCTATTAATTGCACACACACATACAGACTGACGCTACTGCAGTTACCACTGAAATTTATATTTGAATAATAAATGCATTCACCTGGTTAATATATGTTTATATTTTCTACTCTATATAATTACATGCTGATTATGCAATTATTGAAAATACATATTTTGCACAATTATGCTATTACTGAAATAATGCCTGCAATAGAACTGCCTGTGTGTGTGTGCATGGTGGTTGGTTGTTTTGGAGTCGTCCTGAGCTCATGCAGCTCCGTCTCAAGTGAGGTGCTGCTTGAGCAGACAGTGATATACCACAGGAGCATGTGTGTTATTACTGTTATCACCTGTGGGTGAATCTCGCTCCACTGCAAAATGGTTTTGGCTTTATTATAAACCACCTGCGATAAGGTTGTTCATCCAGCCTGATTTTGTGCTTGGCTGCCCTGGCTTCCCGTGCCCCTTGGTTGTGATGCACGGTGTGAGGTGCATGCAGGTGGGAGGTATGGGCATCTGACAGCCACTGTCTGCCCCTTACACTGGGCTGTGGGGGTCAGGCCACCACGCCCCAGTATGCATTTGCCTCTGCTTAGCTTAGAACAGAGCTTTCACTGCCTGCACATGCTCAGAGCACTCCAGGCATCCTGCCAGGTGTGTGTGAGGGATAGGGCAGATACGTGTCACAGCATGTGATGTCCTATTGGGGAACACCACTGCAGCTGGCTCTGGCTGTGGTGCTGTTGTACTCGGGGGGTTCCTACTCACCAGCTTAATACAGATGAATAAACAAACAAGTAGCAGCCGTTGATAGCAACAGCATCTGTGTTTGTACTGACGGCGAGTGAAACGCTTCACCCGAGCTAACACAACAAAGCAGCGTCAGAGGTGGGAGCGGGATGTTGGCCTCCCACCTGGGAGGCCTTCCTGGGATCAGATAGAGGAAGAGAGTCCTGTTCAACAGGATAAATAGAGCCTGGCTTTGCCTCCCCTGTGCTGTGTGGATCTCACAGCCAAAGGGTTAAGAAGAACTGAGTGTGTTCGGCATGCTCTGCGGAGCGCCCAACGACGGTCTGAACATGAATGACCAAATTGCTTTTTACTTTTCAAATTAAGGCCTCTGTCTATGGGCTAACACTGTGCTTCCATTAAAGAAAGGAATTTGTTACCACTCTGATTTTTAATAGGGTAAGACCCTGCCATTCCATCTCACAACTTTACTGACATG